AAAAGTCATAGTCTGGGACGTCAGGCTTGCTGGGCGATTGGAATGTAGTACTCGAGGCCTTGCCCTTGACATTAGATTGTTCTCCAATGGGAGGCCCAGTCTCCGAGATCATGTCACGAAGTACCGGAGCAGCCAGATCGATATCTTCATCAAGAGCAAAGGCTGTATCGCTGACCTCCCAATCTAAGACCCTACATTCCACAACATCTTCTTCATCTGAAGAATCTTCATGCTCACTATCCACCTCACCACCATTTTGTAGCTCCCTGGTCATATCCCGAAATTTCACAACAGGTCGACGTGGCGGTTTGACAGGCTCTCCAGCAATCTGCAAATGTCTGTTAGCACTAATTGGTGTGAGCAGCGGGAGCATACCCTTGGAGAATGAACTTTATACCATTGTCCCACTTGGACAATGTCAACTAGTGTACTGACAACCAAGCAGAGCCGGGCCTCTCTCCTCGATGGTGATTATTCCGTCTGAGGTATCAGCCCGCCATCCAAAGATGTCTTTCATGAGATGACTGAAGGCTCCTGGTTCCCCTTTATCTTCAACCAATTCCGCGGGAAGGGTCAGGTTCATGAGCATTGCATACTTGCTCTGCTCTATCGGTTGCACTGGAAGTGTATTGGGTAGATTTCGAATGAAGGATTCAAGTCTCTCTAGCTTTTCTGGAATCGTTCTGAGAGGCTGTGCCATTTCGACGTAGTAGGCGTAGCAAGGAGCGAGAATAGGCGGGAATGCTGTAAATTTGCAAGCTTCTATTTTAATTCTGCGCCCTGCCCAGCGGCGCCCTTGGACTGTGTTGCGGACCTGCGGTGCAAGTCTTAGAAAGTCACAAATTGTAACATTTTAGGCATATTTAGCACTGCCAATAGTGCCTCATCGAGATTCAATTTTTCACATATTTTCACCTACTCTATCGAGGTCCGTTGTTAATAACTGTTAATAACATGTGAATAACATAGGTGAAAAATCCATGTGAGAAAATAGTCCATTTCTCACTGTACCCTAGGAGAGCACGAGCACGAGCACGTGATATCCGGACCGTAAGAAACTGATATTTCGCCCCTCACGCGCTCGTCCTGAGATACTTCGCTTACATGTGGGAGACTAACGATTGAGGTGCTTCGCGTTCTCAAAGAGGGAATAGCCGTTTGAAGTTCACGAAGATAATTTAGTTCGTGGATAACGAGAGAACGATAGGCGTGCACGTACACGTAATATTCTAGGAATTTGATTTCTCCCAGTCGCGGTTTTGACCCTCATGCACTCGTCTGCTCGCTCAAAAGAGGCTTGAGGCAGGCTTTGAGAAAAGTTCCACGCACAATCTCTCCCTACTCTCACGCCATCCAGCCCACCCGGTCGAGGAACAACAACAACAACACGAGATGCACATGCAATTCTATAGAATTCTATCTTCTCTATCAAATCCTTGGAAATTCTGATTTGCTCACCGAATTCTACAGTAATATATCCACGCTGATTCTATCGCTTTTCATGAAAGACATGAGCTACAAAGAACATTCAGGCTCGCTTCCAGAATGATATGTACGAACTGGAGCACTTTCGTAAGAACCTGTAAGTCCATTATTGGAAGTCGTTGTCATCTGTACATGTATTCCCAATTCAGTAGTGCTTCGCGCATTCATTATTGCGTCAGGTTTTTATTTATCCCAAGGTACTTATTCAAAAGTTGTTCTTATATGTAGCTGCTGCTGTTATGATTCTTCCCCCCTTCTAGCTTGCTATCTTTCCGTCATTTCCTCTTAGTCTTCCAAAATCGACTTTGATTTTGACAAAACATCCGCCAGACCCGCACAGGATATTCTCTCTCCCGTTTCGAGATTCGAGCTTCGGTCTTCACAAATCTTTACTTGTGGTCTCCAAAACTTGCAATATCGATCATGGCGGCCGTTGTCATAAATGAAGTTTTGTCGACCTCTGGTCTTGTCGTCGTCTCGACACTCGTCGCCATCCTCTTCATACGGTATTACCGCATTCGTGGATCGGTACAACTTCCCTTACCTCCGGGCCCAAAGAAACTCCCACTCCTTGGAAATAGTCTTGTGCATCACGATTTCTCCTTTGATAGATACTATGCTCACACACCCCATTTCTAGGATATGCCATCTGCCTTCCACTGGATTACATTCTCTAAATGGGCGGAGCAATATGGTGAGAATTATTCAAGTTTCACAAGAATTCCGACGATTACTTACGGAGGAGATCATAGGCTCGGATGTCCTTCACCTAGATGTTGCAGGGGGAAATTATATCATTCTGAATTCCTACCAGGCAGTTACAGACTTGCTGGAGAAAAGGTCGAGCATATATTCGAGCAGGTGCGTATGCTTGAATGCCCTCCGGTTTGAGATCATGCTAACGGACCCCCTTGCTGGGATTTTGTACACAGACCTCATGCCACCATGTTGCAAGATTTGTGAGTTGATTTTGCGTATTTTCGAGACGAATTAGAATTGAATTTTTCGTCCGATTATCAGAATTGGGTTCGTACATTGTACTCTATACTTTCACACAACCTTACCAACCATCCACACAAACGATTCAGCTGGGATCGTGACGTTCTCCTTATGCCTTACGGGGAGGACTTTAGAGCTCACAGAAAGCTTTTCCAGCAAGGTGAGTTTCGAAGCCACATACAATCATCTCAGATTTTACTGCTGACCTCCGATATCGTTACCTACCATCCCCGTATAGAATTCCATCCAAATAACTCACAATTGCATCGTCCCCACGAGAAGAAAGCCTTAGTGGTTTTCTTGAATAAATTAGTTGAAACGCCGGAGGAATGGCTTACGCACATCAAACAGTGAGTTCTTTTTTCCCGCTTTTTCCCAGCTCAAGACCGAGCTCGCTTAGCGTAGCTTTTTTTTTGAATGTTTCAATCACTGATAGTCGTATGATTATTCTGGTGCTTATGATGATGATGATTGCTGAAAAAAAAATCTCCCTGATATGTAGTATGACAGGCACAATCATCCTAGCTGTAGCATACGGGATCCATGTGCAGTCCAAAGATGATCCAAACATCGATGCAGCGGAAAAGATGATCGCGGTTCTAAACACTGCTGGAATTCCTGGTGCGTTCCTTGTGGTAAGTACCTACCACATTACAGTGTCCGCAGCGAGGGGTGCATCTGATCCCATCTATTGGCTTTAGGATGTTTTCCCCATACTCAAATACGTTCCGTCCTGGTTCCCGGGCGCAAGCTTCAAACGGAAAGCTCAAAAATGGAATGGAATTCTTGCAGCAACGATTACGCCCCCGTTCATGAAGGTTAAGCAGGCCATGGTGAGTTGTCCATCAACCCTACCTCATCACCTCAACTGACCTATCTTTCAACAGGCTAACGGAACCGCGGAAGATTGCTTCAGCCTAAGATGTCTACAGAACACCAAGAATCCTGATCCTCGACCTGATCATCTCTCAAAGGAAGAGGAGATCATCAAGGAGACTGTAGGGACCATGTACGAAGGTACCAGCTTAACTGAACCAAAGTCTGATATTCCCCCTGTATTTATCTAACTAATCATCACACCCAGGCGGCGCCGACACAGGAATAACTACTCTCCGGACCTTCCTTCTCGCTATGATGCTATTCCCCCATGCACAACGCGAAGCTCAGGATGAACTGGACCGTGTTATCGGAAAGGATCGATTACCTGACTATGCTGATCTGGACAAAGATTCCTTACCTTATGTGTGCGCTGTTGTGTATGAATGTCTCAGGTGATTTTTTTTTTTTTGCATTTTGCATTTTGTCTTCCTCCCCCCCCCCCCCTCCCCATAATTTTAATTTTTAATTTTTATTCATGGGGCTGACTGCTGTTTGGATGAATCAATCCAACTCAAAGATGGCAACCTGTCGTTCCGTTAGGTGAGTTGTAACTCGAATCAATCAAGGGCCGATGGTGGTACTACTACTACTTTCCAGCCTTCCCTCATCAATTGGATGCAGACGATACATATCAAGGTTACTACATCCCAAAAGGCTCAACGATAATGCCCAATGTCTGGTAAGCATTACTAAGGACAGTCAATCCTCCTATTCTTTCATCCTGTTGTTTTCCCTCAGGGCAATCCTCCGAGACGAAAAGACCTACGGACCCAATGCACATACTTTCGAACCGAAACGGTGGCTCCTCAAGCAGGGAGAGGGGTGGAAGCTGAACCCCGACATGCGTGAGCCGACGACAGTAGCTTTTGGATTCGGGAGGAGGTAAATGTTAGCACTTTCCGCGGGTTGAATATGCACTGACTCTTAACGATGGCTCTCAACTAAACAGGGTGTGTCCAGGTAAACACATGGGTCTATCCTCCTTCCACATCAACGTTGCATCGCTCCTTCATTCCTTCAACGTTACCCCTCCCATAGACGAGCACAGTGGTGCACCTATTATTCCGAAGATCGAATACATCTCAGCTGTGTTGAAGTACGTGCCATTTAACCATCTACGTGGTTATGCTTTTTTTTTTCTCACACACATACACACACACACACAAAACAGCCAACCCGCTCCATTTCAATGTTCCATCAAGCCTCGCTCGGGAGGACATGCTGCGCTTGTACAACAGGCGTTGTTGGATTTAGGGTATTGAGAAGGGGGGCGATTGATTGATTGATACACTTAATATCCAGAAGAACGCAAGTCATTCACATACAGTTGTTTATAAATTCCGATTCATCATGCCACCCCCGAGTCTACCTGAGTCTATGTACCCCAATATTCCACACACCGGCACACATTGATCCATGAACCGACGAATGGTTGAAGAGAATTGGAAATTGGAAATTTGGTATGGCCAGTGAGAGTTGAGCGGGAGTTATCATATAATCATAACGTTACGTATTCATATTCCTATGAGTTCTGTCTTCTCTCCTGCTTCTCTCTAAGTACAAGGTGCGGCTGGTACATTTTATGTTCGATTCCCTGCTTCATCCATCCATGGCCCCTCTCCCTTCTCTATTATCAATCCCTGGTAGTATATCGGTTTAGTACACGCGCCTGTCATTCAACCACAATCTTCAATCATGTATGTGCGCGCGCGAAAGCTGGGTTCGACTCCCAGCCAGGGAGGTCTTCATAACGTCCTGGATGACGTGTTTTTTTGGTGGTTTTTTGGGGGGTTGGAGGTTAGTTAGGCTGACGATAGATTAGATTGATTTTTAGGAAAGAAGAGAGAAACAAGAACTCCTTCGAGGAAGGAGGAAAGGTTGATTATTGTATAGTAGTTACAATTGAGTATGGAAAGAGAATATTTTCGGGGGGGGGGGGGTAGGCCTCAATGCTCCACCTCCTCCCACGCCCTGCCCACCGTATTCTTCAACTCCTCCTGCGTGACCTTCTTCCCCTTGGTGAAATACCCACTCGCAATCTTCGCATCAATCTCCACCCTCGAATCCGGTGGAATCAAATAACTCGGGATATCATACCTCTTCCGAATCTCAATCCCACTCCCCACGATCGCGTCGTACTTCATGTCGCTCATGCTGACCATGTTGTCGATGCGGGAGATGCCGAGCCAGTGGAGGACGTCTGGCATGAGGGCTTGGAAGCGCATGTCTTTGACGCCGGCGACGAGCTCGGTGGAGCGGAAGTAGGAGGAGGCGGAGTCGCCGGTGCGTTTGCGGAGGTTGTAGACGAGGTATTTGGTGACTTCGCCGAGGGCGCGGCCTTCTTTGCGGAAGTAGACGACGACGCCGACGCCGGGTGAGCCGTCGGTTTGGTCGGGGTGTCGGCCTTGGGCGGTGCGGATGCATTCTTCCATGGCGTAGGTGAGGTAGGGTTTGCATGTGCAGATGTCGGAGCCAAAGACGTCTGAGCCGTTGCATTCGTCGTGCACGCGGACGGTTATCATCCGAGACGGGTCGTGGATATGTGCGGGGTTACCAACTAAAGAGGGGTTAGCACAAATACATTGAACAATGAGAGAAGGACATACAGATATACACCGTCAACCCCCCAATAGGAGGCAAAAACACATTAATATCCGGCCTGGTGATCAACTCTGGATACATCCCTCCAGTATCCTCGAACAACGCTCGACGCAACAACGACTCTGCGATGCCAAACCTCTCCGCCACACCGGGTAAATACCAAATGGGGTCCACCGCCGCCTTGGACACATTCACCTCAACACCAGCATCAATGCCCTCCACCAAACTCCCATCTTCTCTCCTCAACGGCTCGCTCCCCAGTACAATCTTGCCATCAATAACAATCTCACCACGTTTAACCGCCTCATCAATCTCCTTCAACTTGATATGCGCCTTGGTCACCGATATCGACGGGCGTATATCCAGCCCCAATCCCCCCTTCTCCTTCTCCCTCCCCTCCCTCTCAAAAACACTCGGTACCAAATGTCCCCAGGGGTCCATACTCACAATCTTCTTCGCATCGTACCACGCTGGGTTTTCGCGGATCTCCACGGGGGGCTCGGTCATCCCGTATTCGGGTTTGTAGTTGGGGTCGAGGGTGCCCATGGCGATGCTGAGAGCGCGGTAAATGGAGTAGCTCCCGCTGTGGGCACCGAGGGCGTTGCGGAAGGGGAGGGAGGAGGGGAGGCGGGAGCAGATGATAGGTCCTCGGAGGAGAGGCGTGGAGGCACCCCATTTGAGGGGGTAGGGAGTTATGGAGTGTTGGGAGGGGTAGGTTGTTAGGAGCACTCGGCCGGGGTACAGGGATTTCTCACGGGTGGGGTTGGTTGGGGTGGTGGTGTTTCCATTGGGGAGGGTCTTGGTCTCCACAGGAGGAGGAGACGACGGTGTACTGAGATTATTCAACTATCATCCATGTTAGTACAACAAACCAAAACCAACAACCAATCACAAACCTTGACCTGCATCGCCTGCTGAGTCATCTGCAACGACTCGAGCTGCGCTAGAATCTGACCAAGAACCGCTGTATCTACCTGCGTCGTACTCATCTGTTCTTGTTGTAAACAGAAAGGGGAAAGAAAGAAAGAAGAACAACACCTTAAGTACCCAATTAACACGCCGCACCTCATCCGCAAGGCCCACACACACTCCGGTTAGCGGTCCGATCCGATCCACCCTAGATAACAATTAGGAGTCTTTCCGAGTTCCGCGGATAACTACGCATCTACAACCGTGCGTCCTGGGGCGTTGGAAAGAGACAAAAAAACAAAAAGTCTTTGAACTTTCAAAAACATGGACCACACATCTTGGAAACTCCCTGGCTGGGAGTCGAACCCAGCTTTCGCGCGGATCACATTAGTGGCAGTTTGCAATGACAGGCGCGTGTACTAAACCGATATACTACCAGGGATGTATTTATATCAACGGGTGTTGGGGAGTTCTGGTTGATGGAGTTGAACATGCAAAATTTTAAATCAGCGCTTGTTCATCAGCCCGGCTGTGACTCCAAGGTGATCTGGAGTGCAAGTGGACGTGATACATGATATATATGGACTATCTCTCATATTTTGAGTAGTAGGGCTGTAAATGTAAAAAAAAAATTACAGTGACTTGATATCAACACACCAATGTCCATACCTACACATCTTCTGGCCCCACCTTCCCCAAATATCCACCACTCACTCTGTAGTTGTCAACACACACACACACACACACACATACACAATATATATATATATATTATACTCAAAACCCAGAAAACATCATCGGCCTCATAAGAATGCCAGGCAAGTTCTCCAACATTAATACATAGATTAAACCAAAGTATTCGCAATGTCATTGATGATATTGGTCTTCATTCCTGTTAAGATCATGTACACCGTGTAACCGTGCCAGAGGTCACACAGTGTCTAAGTGCGGAAGACGAGTGGGACAGTAGTGAAGTTATTAACAACACTGCCGTTACGCCGTTAGTCCCCGGAGATCGAGAGTATAGAAGGGAGGAGCTGAGTAAGTGAGGTGGGGGAATGGTTGATAGAGCTTTTGGATGCTGTTGATTGTTAATGATTTCAATGTTGGGTGTTTTTGGAAAAGGAAGGAGTGAAGCAGGGCTGGTTCCGCGACTCAGAGGACAGCTTAGAACAGCAAGGGTTTCTAGGGGAGAGAGGGTACCAGAGGCAATCAAATCACCTATGGTTGATCAATAATTTATTGGTGTCAGTGTGCAATTCAGTAAGATTTTGTTACTGATGAGCAAGAGGAGATGACTCCTTGAACATTGTAACCCCAAGGAAAATAATAAAATTAATATCAGGTTGCCTTCCGCACTTCTGACCTCTCGAGAAAAGAATTTTCGTGGAGTGTCACTCCACTTTGAGTGCTGTGATTTGTTGGAAAACCGCAATGTTCTACTACTCTATTATCATTGATGACCTGAGGTGGGGGAGTTTCCTGATGGTTCATACAGAGGAGCTGAGAGGAGAGTGGGGGTTTGGACTCAATAGTGGGATGGGTGGTGAGGGTTGGGTCATATATAAAAGAGCATCTTGAGAAAAAGATCCCAGAGGAGGAACTCCATCTAGGGGAGTAGCAACTCCGCTTACATAATAGTGATGAAACAGTAGTAGTAGTAGTAGTAGTACTACTACCAGGGACATCGAACCAATGCCTAATATCGAGTCTCACCACTTCCAACACAAGTGATTTGGTGAAATATTTTGTCATGAGTTCAAGCACTACAAAATGCGAAATCAACTTCCTATCCATGCTATCCCGCATCATCCTTGCCTTATACCCATCAAAAACTGGCCGGAATATAAGGTGTGTAAAAAGCAGGGGGAAGAATTTGAGCGCAGAAGTATCGGCATGTCGAACGCCAAATTGCTATCACAAAGAGTCCGGATACATTTCACAGTCATCTTCTGAAGCGCGAGGTGCATTGGATGGTTTGACAAAAATCAATTATTTGGAGGTAGATCTCGGCTGGGATGGGAGATAGATATTCGACTTGTTTGTTGGTAGTGTCAAGCGTGTTCTGGAGCTAGGGATTAATTCAGAGTTCGGGGGCAGGTGTGTGTATTGAAAGAAGCATGTTCACTCACGGGTCCATCCGTGGATGATATGAGTGCAGGAGTTTGTCGACATGCACATGGTGCCTAAAGCTAAAGGTCAGATTAGTTCACGAGCGGCTCGTGACAGACACCAGCAATTATATAATATTACGTCCGGGCCGGCGCATTTGGTTTTTTACACTGAAAGTAGTTTGTTTTTTTTTTTTTTTGAATTCTTCGTTTACCGCAAGTAAGTAAGACTGTGTACTAAGGCGCGGGGAGCTGCAACGACCAGCTGGGTGTGGCCCTGGCTGATCGTTCCGCTCCATTCTCCGATTCTGGGTCATATGTAAGGTCTGTAGAGGATGGTGTAGCTATAGGTCATGTGTTTTGTATAGTATGTACTGTTTCTAGAGATGGTTGGACGTGTTCGGTGATGCATATGCATACCTTAAGAGAAGTGTACATGTTGAAAGAAGGGAAGGAGAGAACGAAAGGGGCCTCGCACACTCCACCCATGAATGGGAGAAATACCACTAGGGAAAACCAAGCCCCCGTTGCAGGCGTATCCGCGCTGTGGCCTTCATGGCTCTTGCTGGGCTTGGGCAGCCACCAAGTTGGTTCTCCTGCAACTTGGGGCCAAAACCCACGCTCTCGAGTTGTGAGCTCGACGCACCGGTGGTCCTGGGCTTCGTGTGCTGGCAGGTGAGGTGAAATGTATGTGTATGAATTGTATGTGGATATTGAGAGTTATATTGCTTCGGGCTCTGTGTCATCGGAGTCTACGATTTCTTCTCGCCAATCTGCCTCGGGGGTTATACCTTCACCGGCTATGTTGCGGTGAATGATTTCGAGTTCCTCCCAGATACCTAGTGGTGTATAGTCTGGTTCAGTTGGTGTTGAGCGTCGATTGCCTGTCTTTGTGAATGCTCCACTCTCTTCAATGAACTCGGTAAGGGCTTCAATGCCTTCTTTGGTACCCAGTATATCCGAAAGGCAGATATCATCCGAGACCCTTTTCAGGATATACCGGTAGTCCTCGTATTTGGGACAAGCCCTTAATATATGTTCGCGAGTCTGCAGTTCTTCGCCACATGGGCAGTCAACGTTCTCACCAGGTACAAATTTTGAGTAATACTCGCCTATGAATGCATGCCCTGTGCGACATTGTGTGAGGCGACCAAAGATCTCTCGTGGGGTTACTTTAAGGCGCTCTGTAGGTTTTAGTGAGGGGGGAATCCGATTTGCCACTGCAAAACGGCCATGGGTTGACCGAGACTCCCATATCTTCCTCCATTCCCTCTCTGCTCGTACTTTGCTTATCCGTTTTGCGTTGGATAGCGACCGTCCCCAAATGGCTTCATTTATCAGCTCTGCTCCTGTCTTTGCCAAAATGTCAGCTCGTTCATTTCCATGTATACCTTTGTGGCTTGGTACCCAAGCCACCTCTACTGTGTGTGTGATGTCTGTATCCAGGAACTCCACGACTTTCCGGTAGAAATTGGAGCAGTAACTTTGTCCTGGCTTCGGAGATGTGTCAAATATTGTGTTAATACTCGAGGCACTGTCTGTGAAGAATTGCCAGTGAGTGATTGTATTATCTTGTGAGGAGAAATTCGCCGCCATGCCCGCCGCATAGCTTAGTGCAACAACTTCTCCATCATATGCCTCAGCGTGAATACCTAGACCGATACTTCGGCTGAAGATCTCTGTGTTGCTTTGGTATGCTACAAGGCCTGCACCTGCTTTCCGAACTCTCTGTATTGGCTTCAGTGAGCCATCTGTATATATACACACATTGTGTGGCTGGGATTGGAGAATACTCAGCTTCATATTGTGGTCCTCTATTTGTTTTGCCATATCCTTTTTCTTGTCCTCATCTTTGCCCTTGGGTGGCGGTGGGAGGAAGCGGAGTCAAGACCCAAAGTCTGATCCCACGCGGCGCCATGGTGGCATTGAGAAAGGCAAGATACGTTCGTCTGATGGGTTGGTAAGACGAGCAATATTCTGCAGTTGGGTTGTGCGATTTTCATCCTTTTTGCCTTTCCGGTTCAACTTGTAGTGAATCGCCGGGGGCCGGGATGGGGGGAGGCCTGCTCTCCACTGGTCATCGAGTCGTTGAATGATAGGGTTAGAGGTACTTAACTTGTTAAATCTGAGTGCACAATTACGGTTTAGCCGATTGAGCTCTACTCGAATGGGTGGTATGGATGCTTCGATCTCCATTGCTGTAACTGGTGTTTTACGGAAGACTGCACATATTAGTCGTAGTCCTCGATGTTGGACCTTCTCCAGCAGTTTCTCATGGATTTTCTTCCCAGTCCACCATGCGGCGCTTGCATAGGTCATAACCGGCACTACGCAGCTCTTGTACATCATGCGCATGTGGTATGGGGACAGGCCCTTGATTGTGTTCGCGAGCATGACGAGTGAACCTACTGCTTTACCTGCACTCCCTGCCAGGGTTTTGACATGGTGGTTGAAGAGTAGTTTCCGATCAAAGTACACCCCTAGCCACCGTACCACTGCCTGTGGTGCTACCACTCTTATTTGTCCATCATCATCATGAAATGTGATTGACGGAGAGATGTTGTTGTCGCGTTTTCGGCGTGTATAGTGCATGAGTTCGCGCTTATCAAAGTCGAATGACAATCCCACCTTTTTTCCCCATGGCACAATGACTTCAATCCATATAGCCTTGAGTATTGCCGTGTTCAACTCCAGTGAATGTGAGCAAACATGTAGTTTTCCATCATCCACGTACATAAAAAGGTTGGGGGGTGGTGTCTTTTGGTCGTCAGAGCCAGGTGCTTGCTGCAGTTCCTGGGATTTGCACTCAAGGATCTCAAGGAGTTCGGCCGCATAAAATGCCGATAGTATCGGCGACAGCGGGGATCCCTGTGGCGTGCCGTTAGTTACATCTTCGAGAGTAGAAATAATACCGTCTATGCAGACTGCTGCTTTGCGATCTGTGAGGAAATTTTTGATGAATTGGACTATCTGTATGGGTATCCCCTTTCTGCGTAATTCAGAAAGGAGGCGGTCATGGTTTACAAAATCGAAGAAGCCTTTGATGTCAAATGTTAGTGCAGATGTTACCATGCCCCTGTTCCATGCTGCCTGGACGTCATTGACAAAGGCGAGGATAGCATCGGTGGTAGATAGGCCTGTGCGTCCCCCAAACTGTTGCGCCGGGATCAGGTCATGCACTGATGCCATGTATTGCAGTTGACGTGCTACGATCTTCTCGAGGATCTTCCCTAGACACTCAAGTAGTGTAATTAGTCGATACGCATGGGGTTTTGAGTAGTCTGGTTTCCGAGGTTTCCGTAGTGCTACCGCAATGGCTTTGCGCCATGTC